GGGGGGGGGGGGGGGGGGGAAGTGAGAGCGAGAGAGAGCACCCCATCTTTCTGTCTGCAAAATGTACTCAAATGTTTGATATTTCTCAAGCTGTATTAGATAATGTATAAGTGTCATAAGTCGAGTTACCATTAGTCTGGCTGTTTAATTCCGTATTCTTTTAGAGCAGGAAGTCTGTAGTGACACTACATTGTGCTTCACCTGTCTTTTATTATTTCAAATGTTCCAAAAATGTTCAGCGAGGTTGCTAAATTGTATGGGGACACAAAAGTAGTAAAAAAGTATGTAAAAAAACAAAAATACATAAGCAATCTCCAGATTCTGACTGTGGTCCGCACTTTGAGTTTGGGTTTAGACTGTTTGCCATGCATTATCCAGGTCAGTGTTGCTGAGGATAAAGAGGATCCACCACCTCTTCTTTGGCGCCTGTCTTACTTAATAGCTAATAATACACTTATACATAAGTCCAAGTTGTATTGAGTCAATTTGATTTGCTTAAATCGTTCCTAAAATGTATAGTTGTTTGTTACACTTTTGGCTTCAGAAAAATCAATTTATCTTGCTTAATGATATTTTTCCTTTTACCTCTAAAGAAAAATTATTGACTTAATTTATTTTTTAAACAATCTAACTTAATCATTTATACATACACCACTTTTGAAGACAAAACATTTTTCACTTTGGCCTCAATGTGACGAGGAACTATCCTCAAAAGAAATCTACAGTTGTGGGATGTTTGTAACTGCAGGCATGTTTTCTACTAGCTCAGCTTCTCACTTCTCAAAGTGGCTTTACGTCACTTTATCAATGAATGTGATTCTGCTGTGGTGGTGTTGCCGGCTGATCTCATATCAGCTTAACACTATAAGCTACCACAGGCCTCTCTTTAAGTCTGGCAAAGAGGAATCTGATCTATCACATCTGAAGCTGCCTTCATTCTGCTTCCGGAGGCCACACACACACACACACAGAAAGGCAGTGGATAAGTAGGCAGACATCAGCTTCACGTGTCCTCTGGCTAACCAGCATAACAGATAGTTGTGAACCGAGAGGGTGTGTGTGTGTGCGCGTGCATGTGGGTGTTTGTGTGTGTCTCAGCTTAGCCCCCCATAGTGTCACTGATAGAGAGTAGTTGACAGTGAATGGAGACTGGCTTTGTGGACACTGTGACAGGACCCAGGATGATTTTACAGGATTATCTCACTTCTGTGACAGTTGGACACTTTCCAAAGTTTTGACTAGATTTGTGAACAAGAAAAAGCCTCTCCGCAGGCTCCGGAAGAACAGAAAGACAAGAGTAGTATTTGACCAGAGTATTTGTTTGGATGTAAACAGAACAACTGAATGAATTACTGAGGAAGTGATGGGAAGACAGAGAGATGGAAACCGGGATGAATAGGTGAATGGCAGTATTAGATTATGATCAGCTGTTATACACATATATTGACCAGTAAACCAATGTTGTATGGCCCTAAATAAAGACTAAATGCCGTAAAAAAAAAAAAAAAAGTATTTTCTTGAGAGGAAAATGCAAAACATCATCAGCATAGCAGAACAATTAAAAAGATTTTAGGCCCACATTGCAACTGAAGATTGAATGAAGTGACACTAACAGAGGTGAGTCTGACAGTGGTGGAGAGAGTATTCAGAAGGTTAAAGTAGCAGTACAATTACTCTGTTTCAAGTTCATTCAAGATTGACTTAATTAAATGAAGGCTACAAAAGCATCATCAGCAAAATAGCAAAATGTGGTTAAAGTATCAAAAGATAAAGTACTGGTTGGGTATAATGGTCCCTTTGAGAGTGTTATAATATCATATATATGGTTTAATTTGAACATTATCACTGAAGATTTAACACACTAGGGATGGGACAATATACAATATTATCGCATACAGTGATATTTCTAGTATCGTGATGATATTGAATATCCTCACATGGGTTGACTTGAAAAACTGTCTAGCTCGCAAGTATACAGTCATATATTGATTTCCTAATTTATTTTGAACAAGGGGACAAGCCTGCTTCTTTCCAGTCACCATGGCTGAAAGCTAAGCTTGCCCGTTGTACCTTCCACAAGAGGTGTTCAACCGGATGTGTGGAAATAGTACAGATTCTGAAATTAAGAACAGGTAGATGATGATGATGTCCATCAATGATGCAATAAATATATGTATTTCTTAACAAAATGTAAGGTTAGGTGATTACAGTATGTTTAGTGCCATTTTAAAAGTATGAAGTATATTTTCATCATTATTGTGATACACATTGTGTAGTCCGCAATTATTTTGGCAGATCATGGTGACATGCAAATTTTCATATGCCCATGCTCAAAACACACAAGCAGCAGTTTAATGATACAACTGTGGAGGTGGAGCTAACTGTGACTACTTTATACTTTAATCTATAACTATCATATACAGAGACTGATGATTTGTTTGTGAAGTCTCAAACTGAAAAGTAACTCTCAGATAATGTAACGGAGTAAAGAGTACAATATTTCCTTCTGATAAAGAAGTTTAAATAGTAACATAAAATGGAAACACAAGTACACGTCCCCCTCCAACCAAAAATGTATATTCAGTTAGATGTTTGCGCTTTACTGTGCAAAGTTTGACACTAGTAGGTGATCTGATTTTAAGGGGCGGGGCCTACAAACAGAGACTTGAAGCCATCAGTGCACAAACACTGAGAATGGACTTTACAGTGAAGTAGGAGACATCTTGTGTCCAGCAGGAAAACTGGATTCTGGAATGTTTTCATGAAAAACATATGAGACATACATTATTGCTCTAAGCTGACTATTTATATGCTTTAATACATGTCTGGAGGGAAAGTACAATACTTGACTCTCATGGTTAGGTGATGGAATATGTCACACAGTCTGTCGCAGACCTTTGCAGCTATGTGGATGCTGTAAGTATAATCTGAGTTTAAGGCAGTTTAAAAAACAACACATGCACGTGTTGGAAAATAGCCAAAAGGCACAATCACATTAGGAAGGTAAATAAAAACAAAATCATATTTTGCAATGGAAACCTCATAGCTTCATGTGATTTCCTTTCATGCAAGGCAGCATTTGGGAATTCATGAGTCAACATAATGCATGTGTGACTGGCTAATCATCTAATTAAATATATTCATCTTGTATGACCAAGGTCTTCTGGCAGACTGGATTCCCCAATCTAACTTTAATCCTCTCCTCTCATTCAACTCAGGTTGTCTTCTGGAGGTTCAGACCAATGTCAACCTCATGTGTGAATGTACCTCTGGAGGTCCAGCATTGTGTTATGTATTTATGGAGGAGCCTTTCCTTGTAAAACTAATCCATATGAAACAGAGCAGAAGTCGGACCCTGTTTATCAGTGTGAGGCCTGTGCATTTGTGGTTTTTCTGAGCAATAAACAGTCGTAGTTATGCAGGGTCTGCCTATTCTGACCTTACGTTCACCCATGGGTGCTACGGATTGCTCCCACATCAGCCTACAGAGTTGTTTACCACGTCGAAATGCCACTC